TCCAGATCCAGTACCAGAAAAAAAAGTCACCAAAAGATATTGTGTGTGTGGGAGCGGGGAGTAGTTCTCTCAATGCCACCTGATCCATTTGATTGCCAAGTGAGCCCTGCTGGCACCACATGCTACACAGTTGTCATTTAACAACAAATGCATGCACAAAGGCAAACGTGACACATTTCTGCCCTTGGGTCAGGATCCTGGGGGCACCCTCCTGTCAGGGTTCAGCGTAGGGGGCTGAGCCCAGGGGACCCAGGATGGGACTCTCAGCTGTAGGGCCTAAGCAGGGCTGCGAGGTAATGGCTGAGGTTACCTGGAGGAAGAGGTACTGCAACGAGAGAGCAAGCAAGTGAGCAGGCTCAGGGATGGAGAAGAGCCTGCCCCTGGCACCTGCAAGGGTGTGTATCAGGACCTAGGTGGGCCCCTGGAGGGATGTAGAGCAGTGGTTGAGTGAGAGCCATTTTATGAAGGTCATAATGCAAAAGCTTGCTCAGGAAGAAAGCTATGGGAAGCCCTGAAGGGCTTTGCAGAGGAGATGATAGGAACAGCACGGTCTCCTCATAGAAGACCCCTTGGGCTGATTCCAGGGTGGGCTGGATGGCAGGCCAAGAGACCTGGTGCAGGACAGGGCCTGGAGCACGGTGGCAGGATGACAAGGGAGCTGCTCACAGAGGAGGGATAAGGTCCAGAAAACACAGGGCCTGGCACCTGAAGGAGGTGGGTGCAGGTATGGGCCATGATGTGAGGGGCACATAAATTCCTGGCTTGGGTAACAGGGTGGACGGGTGCAGTTCATTGAGATGGATGAGTGGCTCATTTCAAGGCCTGTCACAGTTCATGACCATGGCGTGGTCCAAAGGATGAAAGATTACTCTGAGTCAGGGTCCAATTCAAACTCCAAGAAGGCCCAGAGGGACTGCCACCAACTGAGACCCCTCAGCATGACAGAGTCTCATAAAGACAGCCCCAGACTGGAGCTTCTGTGGCTTTTTATTGATAGAACCAGAAAGCAAAGATAAAAGGATAAAGGAAAGATGTCTATGCATGAATTCATGTAGAGGACAGAGGAAGGTCAGGATGGTTTGTTACATGACTGACTTTTGGGTTAATCTTAATAAAATCAGATAGGGAGATAGAGGGCCAGAACATTTATTCCTCAAAGCAATGTATTTTGATTCTACTTGAAGTTGTAGCCCTGTAGGATAGCTATCTTTTAATCTCTAACCATGCATTCCAGCAGGTTTTGGGTACATGGCTCCAAAAGTCCCTTACCTCTGCATATCCATCTTATACATACCTCTGGCCAATGCTCCCACAAAAGGCCCCAGCAAAATTCTGGCTTTCTGGCAATTAAGTTTAAAGTACCCATTGGGCACATCAGGCAGCAAATGTCTAAGAAACAGAGGACAACAGGGTGTGACATGCTAAAGATTTAGCGATGGATTTGTCTAAAGAGTAGCAGAGTGAGTTGGGGGGGGCAGTGGGAAGGCCTTAACTGACCTCACAGCCCTGAGCTTCAGTTACTTTCAGTTGTACTTGGTCCTTCGGTATCCCTGGCTGCCTCTCAGAGCCGTGGCCTGCTCATGATGCAGGAGACCCAGAAGGAAAGGCTGAAAGCAGTTTCCCAGCTTATATCCTCCTTGAAGTCATTTATTTATCACCTTGCTGCAGAAAGGAAACTTCTAAAGCTTCCCAGACAAGAATACAAGGTGGGCAATCCATATGAACTCTACATTTTAGGTAAATAATAACATCGATAAAAATCCAGTTAGTATAGAGTTAACTTTACTAGGTGCCCTTATGCTAGCAGTCCTATAATTTCTCTGTACAATCTTGAAGGATTATTCTATGTGCATGTACAGATACAACTCAATAGAGGTACACATGGATCTCATATAACCAGGTCTAGACAGATTTGTACAGCTAGAGCAAATAGGGCAATGCAGACATTGAAACAAAATATGAGTTACATTCCAGGCTGGAATTAATAACAGCTCCTCTATGGTCCTACCTTAGTTCACAAACTTAATTCCACGATTCTGGTTTGAAACCCGAATTGGACAAGAATTGAATTTCCCCATAAGGTTAACGTTGAACCTAACCATTGGATTTGATTTGCTTCTCATCCCAGTTTGGTTTATGACCAGAACAGTGGAAAGAATTAACTTCATGAACCGCTGTACATTTATTCTCTCAGCACGTTTGCAAGTGGTCTAAACATATGAATCCCCTTCATGCTTGGGACACTCCACAAGATAAATATGGTTACTCACTCTATAGGTAAGGGAGCTGAGGAGTCAGGGATCTGTGCAGCTGTCGGTCAGGAAAGGATCTGAGTGCATCGTGCGGGTCGGGGGCTGTGCTAGTAACAGAATTTTATACTGCTTCTCATTGTGTGTAGGTAGTAGGCAAATCACTATTTAGGAGTTGATTGTAGTGTAAAACACAATCATCTCCATCTCCGAATGGTAAGCCAGAAAGGAAACTGTGAATTTCATCTGCTACACAATTAGAGCCTGAATCTAATCTGGCTGACAACAGCCACAGCCGTCCTTGCAGACAACATATCAGAGAAGAGGAACTGGGATCCACAGAAGAATAAAGCTGTCTCTGGCCCTCAGGAAGTGTCCCCAGCTAAGGCAGCCACTGATGTGTAACCTGGAATTGCAGCAGCTGTAACAAGACTGTAGCATCCTTCTTTTGCATAAAAACATATTTATTGCCATGCAGAGAATCCAGTTTGGGGTGTGCAGCAGAGATCGGAGGTATAAAAAAGAAATCCAGACTGAAAAGGAGAGTAGACTCAGAGGAAAAGAGCACAGATCCCAGGCCGTGCAGAGGTGATCGGGAGGTGGAGACCCCAAATAGAACCGGAAGACACACCGGCCTGAAGATAGAGACCCAAGGGTCTCATCCTGAAACATACTCAATGTGACATGGAAATAAGAGCTGGAAATCTTTTAATTCCACCCATTCCTGAAAATTCCCCACTTAATCAAACCAGTTGACAGGGATTTGACCAGCTCTGAGCACTCTCGCTGTGGAGAAACAAAGCATTTAATCATCAGGTTTCCTGCTCAGAAAAACACAGGATTGAGGCAATGACCCTTGGAGTGATGGCTGAAGCTCCAGGCCTGGGAGGTAGCGGATCCTAAGGCTTAAGAGATGACAAAAACAAAAACAAAAAAAATTGTCCTGCCTAAGACAAGATCCTTGTTTTGTTCTTGATAGGGAAAAGAACCACCAGGGAGAAGGAACTCCTCAAACCTCTCCCAAGTGAAATAAAACAAAAGCTTTTGATATTTTCAGGACTGGACTAACATAGTGGTATAAAAGAAACAGGATGTGCAGGCACAGAAATCAGAACTGGGGGGACAATGCAGGGCCACAGCCTTGGAGGTTCCAGGGAAGGAGCCCAGGCATGGATATGAGTGTCTAAGATAAGCTTGCCTGGGTGCCTGAGAGGCAGGAAGCCTCCCACCACCTAGGACACTCTTCCCATGCAGCCTCGGAAGTCAGTGTTTCCCAACCCTGTCCTTGTGTTGACCCTATGACATGTGGTCACACTGTTAGCCTTGGTCAGTTTGCTGTTATCCATTTCCTGCTCTTATTAACACCACTGACTCTTCCTGTCGGTCTAGTGGTGTAATTCTGTGTTCAGGGTCACAGCATCTCTGTGGTTGAGGTCACTGGACTTTGTGGGCCAGGGCTCTGCAGCTGATGCGTGGTTCATGGACTCTTGGGTGGTTCTGTCCTTCTATCTTCAGATCTCAGGATTCCAGTTTGTAAAGTGGCAGAGACGAGGAGGGAAAGGTTGAATTTACCATATCTTAGGGTACTTCAAGTTAAACTGTTAATTGTTTGAGTATCATTCTTCCCATTTAGATTCACTTATGACAAATGACTTGGTGAAATAAAAGAAGCAGGTGTGTGTTTTTTAATCGAAGTTATTTCTTTAGTGTCAGCTTCCCTATTAGAAAATATACAGTAGCTTAATCTGCACTGCTTTTCTTACTTTTAATAGGAATCATTTAAAGGCTAAAAGGACCCAGAGAGAAGGCATTAATATACATGGTTTTTGCTTCTCTGATTCTCTTCTTATCCTTTTCCCAGTCTTTTAGGTCTTCTCTTGTGTCTGCCTCTCATGGGGAATTATTAGCTCACTGAAGGTCAGGACATATGATCTGTGGCTATGTCCCTCTGGGTTCTAGAGAGGGACCAGGCCTTGTTCCAAGTGAGCATTTAACAAATAGGTATTTTTTTCCAGTGGAATTGAAATTGTGCATTAAATCAAAATGTTTAAATTACTGCTTTGTATTCTGATAGGCTTGGCTATGCTGCAGGAGTAAAATAAGCACCAAATTTCAGTGTTATAATGCAGTTGAGGGCCCTCTCCCTTGCCAAGACCAAATTTACTGTTGGACAGGGTAGAATTAGGGAAAAAGCCATTTCTGCTCCAAGCAGCCCCTTAACGGCCTAGGATGAGGAGATTCCTATGGAGCTGACTGTACCTCCGGTGAGGCTGTTTCCTCACCTGGAACCCAAGGCCTCTTCAGAAGAAGACACAAATTCTATTCGAGTTTCTGCACACATTTTGTTTTGTTGATCAGCAAATATTTTGGAAATGATAGGTTCCTTTGAGAACCTGATGGCAGCTATATTCCCCCTCCCCAGAAACACACACACACACACACACACACACACACACACACACACACAGCAGCAACACTCACAATTTTGCATAACTGTCAAGGTGTTTCATGCACTTTGAGCCTTGTTCACTAGTCCTCCTCTGAGCCCTTGACCCAGTTTGCAAACCCTTCAACTACATTCACCGGCATGTTTAGTGCCTGGCCTCAGACCAGCAGGTGGATAGAGTATATTACTGGGGATCGATTTTAATTTTATCTTACAGACATCCTGCTTAGTAACCTGTTATTGTAAGATCTGGCAACTTATGAGGTGTGTGACCAAGGGATTTCCCCTATGTTTGTTTTTATCAGGAAAAATTTGAAGGGCTGTTCCGGAACTACGATGACTGTGTGACTTTCCAGCTATTTAAAAGCTTCCGACGCGTCCGGATAAACTTTAGCAGCCCTAAACCTGCAGCCCGAGCCAGGATAGAGCTTCATGAAACCCAGTTCAGAGGGAAAAAATTAAAACTCTACTTTGCACAGGTAAGGAGATGCTTTACCAAAAGTAATCTTTTTGCCTTACTTTTGTTTTTTTTGTTAGTAATTTCTCTCCTACGTACTAAAAACACATACATGCATACACAAGGATTGACTGATACACATATATAGTGTCCATACACACTTGTATCTAATACCGTTTCCCCCAAAATAGGGATGGAAAATAATCAGTCTTGAAAACTAGGCATCAAAGATACCAGCCCCAATCGACCTACCCTTGCCTTGCAGAGTGGCCACTGAGCAAGAGAACAGAAATGGCAGGAGAATCATCGACACATTTGTGCGCCCAGCCACACTATTCACAATAGCCAGAAGCCGAAAATCCCAAATGTCCACCAACAGATGGACAAATTGTAGTGCTCGCGCAGCGGAAGATGATTAAGCTATAAAGGAGATGCAGGTGGATACGTATGACAAAGTGATGAGCCTTACACTGAGTGCAAGGAGCCGGTCCCAGGAGGCCACGGGTTCACAGTCCATGTGTGTGAGACATCAGAGAATCCACACACAGGCAGCAGCCGGGGTGCCAGGGACTGGAGGGAGCCAGACTGGTGGCCGCTGTTTAATCACGGGCCCAGGCTTGTCTTTGGGGTGAGAGAAAAGGTTTGGAACTGGCAGTTCAAAACTTTGGGGTTGCCACTGAATTGCTGACTTTAAAATGATTCATTTCATGTTGTGTGAGTTTTGCCTCAGTAAGAAGGCAGTCAGGGAGGAAGGGAGAGGGGAACGGAAAGGAAGGAAGAACAAGGGGAGGAAGAGACAAGAGAAGAAAGGCTGATTTGGCCAGTTTGTGGTAAGAGTGGCCCAGGAGGGGACTCAATCGCCTATTAGAAATACAGATTCCCTGGCCCCTCTCAAGCCTCCTGCATCAGAACTTCCGGGCTGGCCCAGGTGATGCTGATGGGATCCATTGTTCTGAGGACCAAAGGAGACGGCTGGGGCATGGTGTGTAGAGGCAGTAATCACTGTCACACGCGGGTCCCTCGGTTCCTCTGTCCCTGGGGAGGAAGCTACCTCTCAGAGACCAGCAGATCGCCACAGTGACCCGAGTCTCACCCTGACTGTTGCAGGTTCAGACCCCAGAGACAGACGGAGACAAGCTGCACCTGGCCCCGCCTCAGCCTGCCAAGCAGTTCCTCATCTCACCCCCGTCTTCACCGCCCGTGGGCTGGCAACCGATCAGCGACGCCACACCCGTGCTCAACTATGACCTCCTCTACGCTGTGGCCAAACTAGGACCGGGTGAGCTGTCAGCAGCCTAAAAGCACCAAACAAGGTCACCCGCCCCAAAAGCCTGGGTTTGTGGTAACATCTGGAATTCTAGTGGATGTATTGCTCCGTACAGACAATGGAGGGAGGAGGATAGATGACAGTTTGGCATCCAACTTTGTACCTGCTTAAAATTAGTGTGGGAATGGCACTAAAATGACTTCAGGCTATGGGGCTTCTGAGTGGCAGTGCAGATGTCTTAAGACCTGACACCACTACCTAAGTTTTTCAGGGTTTCTGCGCCCCCTGAGAAATCTGCTTTCCCACAACAGGCAGGATGGTCTGGACTGGCTGGCAAGAGGTTGCTCTGCTGGGCACCCCTGCCTTATTGCTGCCAGAGTTACCAGCAGCCACAGGAGCCTGCCACACCAAGACAGCCTGCCTGAGGAAGCCCCCAAGAAATGGGTCTGTTGCCTATAACTTGAGAAAAGTCCCCTTGGTCCCTTTGTTCCAGTTGTTGGGTTATCTGCACCTCTGAACCACTCACTGTCATTGCAGGATAGTATTCCAGTAGGTGGACACACTGCCACACTGCATTGCTAGGATTTTTCTGTTACCAGCAAGGCTACCATTAACATCCTCATACACATCTCCTTCTGCACTTGCCCAAATAGTTCTCTAGGTTTTAGACCTAGAAGGGATAATTGCCTTTCATTTCAGTAGATGATACCACTCTGTACTCAAATTATTTTTCCTGTGTTACACGGGAGGGGGCACTGAACCCAGGGGTAGCTAAGGTCCTCTGTACCACAGAGCCCAGGACAAATACAGAGGTTCCTTGGTTCATGAACTTAATTTGTTCCATGATTTGGGGAAAGACAGCCACACACAGTCATGTTTGTCACCCAACAGAGTGTGCAAACAAAAACTAAATTTTGCCAAATTGTTCACAAACAAAAGTGTTCATAAACCGAGGTCCACTGTAATGGCAAGAAGTCGGTTCTGTCTACTGAGGTCGCTGCCAAAGAGAAGAGGAGCTTTAAAATATAATTCCAGTGCTCTGAGCCCACCCCTAGGTATTCTGATTTAACTGATGTGGGGTAAAGTTCAGGCATCACTTTTTTTAAAAAAGCTCCCCCAGCCAATTCTAATGTCCACACAGCCTCAAGAATCCCTATAGGCCTAATATCAGATTCCAGGAAGAATAAACTCACAATTAGTATTTCATAGTGTGGTCAGGACAATGTTTGGGGCAGACCCACGTCAGAAATATGTAGTCTGAATGGTGTAGTCTGAAATGTGTAGTCTGAATGCCATGCGCTGATTCTCATGGACAATGACATTTTCAAACCCAGTTCACTGAGGATGGGAGGGGTCCCTGGGACATGGGACAGTCAAAGCCAACACCAGCAGATTTCCGGGCCAATCAGGAAGTACTTTGACCCTGCTGGGTCCTCAGATAAACCTCCCTGAAACAGAATTGCTGGCTATCACTTTTGTGTCCTGAAATTAAATTACAAGCATCCCTCAGAGCAATCTCCTGTGAGTTCCTTGTAGTCACCAGTGAGTCACTTGGCTCCTGGGGCCTTGGAAACGGCTCTAAGTTTCACACATAGTCACTCAGTAAAGCTGTCGGTGTCTAAGAGGGGGCAGGGAAGGAAGTGATGTAATATGAGGGTGGGGTTTGTGAAGCAGGACTTCCTGGAACACTGAGCTGGAGCACTCCCTGTTGGGGAAGTGCATTATTGGCTCTGTTTGGGTTCTCTCAAACCAAGCCCTGGGAAGCCACTTTGGTAGCACACAAACATGTCCTTCCCAGTGGCCTGGTCAGAGCCCAGGTCCTCGGGACTTCAGTGTGATTCCCCTGCAGAGACAGTGACAGGGACACACTGGAGCACTTGGTGGAGCTGTTTGGAACATCAGCAAATGGAACTCCTCACAGAACCCCTAAGGCTGCGGTCACTGGGCTGACTTTCATTTTACAGAATGGGAAACTGAGGTCCAAGAGCTCGCAGATAACTCACCCATGACAGGAGCCTGAACCTCACTCTTTAAAAGGAAGCTCAGACTGACCCTCAGAGCCTCGCTGGCCTCTTCCTCCTGCTGGAGTGGCACCTGGCACAGAGGAGGGAGGAGGAAATGGTCTCACAGGCGGGAAAGGGATGGTTGTTTGTGGGAAGAGTTGTGAGTCTCTGGAGTCCAGTGCTCAGGGGCAGACCTTTGTCTGCTGTACCCTTCACCTTCCCTTATTCCAGCAGGCAGCCAGAGGCTGTCCGGCTCCCCCTGCTGGGCCCTGAGCCCCTAGACCGGAACTCTCATTATCCTGGTGCCACAGATTTGGAGACTGAGCTGGTGAAAAAGGGACTCATTTTCCCGAGGCGAATTCCAGATCCTGTCTCTGCTGAATCCAGGCAGCGATGGGCCAGACAAGGGCCTCCTTGGGCCTGTTCTGCCCTGACACTGGCAGCACATCTGTCCTTGCTGCGGGTTGCCAGTTCTCTACTCGGCCCTGACTCCCAGAAAGCCTTGGGCTGTATCCAGAGCACTTGCTGATGGAGATATGTGTATTGCTGTGTACATGCCTGACTATAGGGCTGTCCTGCTTTCCAAGGGTGTCTGATGTGTCCGTGGACAGACCCACCTTGGAGGCCTTTGGGGGTATCTTTTGCTCCTCTCCTTACCAGCTGCTGTTTCTTTTTCCTTCCTGATGCCACATGGATAAACGATTCATAGCCAAAAATTGAGTAGCAGATGTCACGGAGCTCCCATTAGAGGATGCCAAGGTCTGCTTTCTGTTGCCATGGCAGAGCTGGGGTCCTGTGTAGGGAAGGGGGTTGCTCGGCTTACAGTTCTGGAGACTGGGTAGTCTAAGAGCAGGGCACCACTCTGCTGGGCACGCGTGCAAGAGAGAACCTGGGGACAGGGAATGGCTTTGCTTCATGACAGCCTGCTCTTTTGCTAACGTGTCCCAGTCCCATGAGAGCGAGAACACAGTCCCGGCGGAGAGGCACCAACGCATTCCAGAGTGTTCAGTGCCTCCTAACACTGCCACAGTGGCTATTTCCTGTCTTCACTAGCAAAGTGTTGCTTCCTATGGCTTTAGCCAGACTGAGTCAAGCAGCACTAAATTAATGTTTTCAATAATAAGAGGAGTTCTAGCACTTCCATTTTAAAAAGATTTAGTGAAGTTCATTCTTAATCCCTTGGTAGAATCATTCCAGTGACAAATTATAATTCGTTTCATGTGAAGGGAATGGCTACTTCAGCTCCAAAAGCTGAGGCACAAATGAGAATGAGAGTAAAGCAACTCACGTGGCCAAGGACCAGTGTTGGGGGCTTGCGGGGTAGGTAGGAAACCTAAGGCTGCTAGGACAAATTCATCTCCAGAAAGAGCAGCATGGAGCAGGCACCTGGGAATGGGGCTTGAGCTAGGATTACCTCATCCAACCCACAGGCTGTGGGAGCTTTAGTATGCCCTGCTGCCTGGGAGGCCAGGACAGGCCATATCAGGACCTTGTATGGAGGACAGAAGGGAAGGTGGGGATGCAGGCCTCGCTCAGTTTCTCCAGGAGCAAAGCTGTGTGCCTGTTCTTTACAAAAAGGTATGCTGGTGACCCTCCTGCAGAAAGGTACAGATCAGCCAAGAAACCTCTACAAAGATCCTCGGAACTAGCAGGGAGAGAACTGTGCAGTTACAAAGCCCCTTACTTAAGGAAATGTAACTAGAGATGACGAAGGTCAATCCCATTTGAGAAGTTTCTGTTACTTCTCTTTATGATAGTGGGAGCTAGTTCATAATCTGGAAATTATTGAGAGGCACAATAGCAAACTTTTTTTAAACAGTGCTGGGAATGGAACCAAGAACCCCACACAAGCTGGGCAAGGGCTCTACCCTGAATTGATCCTAGCCCTCAAACACTATTAATAATTGCATGTTTCCTTTCCAGATTAGAAAAGAAAATAGATAAGTTACCAAAAAAATCCTAAAAACAGTGACCCACATATATCTATCTATATCTATCTATCTATATATATATATACATATACACATACATACATACACACACACACACATACACATGGGGCTTACAATTTGGCAGGCACCATTCTGAACACCTTACTGGATTATTTCATTCAATGGTATTGTTACTGTCCTCCTTCCAGAGCTGCAAGTCCCAGAACTATTCAACCACCTGCCCCAGGCTGCACCGCAGGGGTTAAAATATGTCCCTCGAGCAAGAAGCAAAATGGGTCATCCAGAAAAATTTAGGAACCCAGAAGATCTCTTGAATAGTAAAATACTTTCTCCAAGAGAAATTCAAGATTGCCGTGAAAGGAAATTGTAAAAGTATAGAACTTACACGTTTGTTCTTCTGCACTTTATGTTTTGCTATGGGCCTCCCCAGCCATTTCCAGCCCCCTTATGTCAGGGCACAACCGTTGCCCTCACCTGCTGGCTGGTGGTACCTGGAGATGCGAGTTTGCTGAATTCTGCTCTGTTTAAGAAACAGTCGCTAGGAAATGGAGGCGTCACACATTTCTCCAGGTCCCCATCCCCAAGTGACCTGTAGACTCCATCCAGGGACCTAAATCAACCAAGACCTCTGACCTTGCTTGAGCTCAATGATGAACTGAGTATTTATCGTATAGCATCTAACCTACCTCCAGGAGCAATGCCACATTCTTTTTTGATGTGAAACAAAATAGGAAAAAAAAAAAAACCAAAAAACCCCCCAAAACAGCCCAGCAGAAGAGCTTAGCCACACCAATCAGCAAAAAGAGATATGGGTGCTGCTCAGCAGCTGCAGATTAGAGACTGGATCCAAAGCACCCGCCTGACTGCTCCAGAAGGTCAAGCCCATTGTCACTGCAAATCCCTGCAGGGAGCAATGTGAAAAGTCATTGTCTCTCCTCTTTTTCCCTCCTGCTATTTTTAGCTCTTGTTAGATCAATTTTAGTTAACTGCAGAGGAGGATTTAAAATGGTGCTTGAGTTTCAAGTTTGCGTCTGTCTGCTATATTTAGACCTTTTTCCAAATTCTGCTCCATCCAGACGCGCCACAGTATAGCAATTTCGCTGGTGTTACACTTTTGGTACACATTGCTTCCCCCAAATGGAAAACACATTTCATTAATTAATGTAACTTACAAGGAAGAAACATTTTCTATTCCAGGCCCTGATTCAGAGGTAGGAAAAAAAATCAGTTTTTAAAATATAGATGAGCACCTATATTTTTGGTGCCTGTGGGATGAATATTCCATCAAGCCTCAGTTCTTGGTCAGAAATTGCTACCCTATTCTGATCACAGGAAAAGCACATGAGTCCACCGGAATCCACCTTTCCAGCCTGCTCAGCCCCTATGTGCTGTTCACCACCCAAAGGACTCAAGTTTGTGGTCCTGGAATACAGATTCCTTGTTCCCCATTTCCTTTCCAAGAATTTTCCCCAGGAAAATATTTTAAGGAGCTTTTTTCACCCAGCACATCTCCTACAGTTCCTCTGGAATCACCATAGAGTGGCGATAAAAAATACTTCCTTATTTCATAGGCAAAATGTTCACATGGTAGAATATTTGAAAAGATAACACCAAAAAATGAGAAGAGATGAATAACAGATTTTACCACCCCCAAATAAGTATTTTAAATAGCATCACTGTGGGCTGTGTGTCCCCGACAGCTGCTGTCTCAGCCAGGACCATAACAGCAGGAAAGGGAGGACAACATGGCCCCATCCTGAAAAGGACGCATGACCTGACCTTGTACACAAGTCCCTGTGGTCTCCCCCTTTCGCCTCTCATGGGGGAAGCCTTCTGTTGATAAGCGGGGAACAACTATATACAAGGGGTGACCAAAAATATGGCAAAGGTTCAAATTTCAAAAACAATGCATTGCAGTCAAAGATACGTTGTCGTTAAACCCCAAAACATCCTGCTCGCTTTGGCCATACTCATCCCATCATTCTTCTTGTTTTCTGAAGTGGTTCTGGAGGTTCTGTTCCCTGAGCGTCTTTACAACCTGTGACCAAAAGCTGAGCGCCATCCAATAGCAAAGCAGGCTCTTAAAAACATGACAGCGTGTCCTCATCCACCTATCCGCCAGGTCTGGTACTGCGCAACTTCTGGCTCTTAGCAAAATCAAAAAGATTATGAAAGGTCCATGTTTTGAATCAATACAGGCAACTGAGGCAGCTGTGGCAATGCAACTAGAGACACTCACCAAAGACGACTTCCAGACCTGCTTCAGAAAGTGGCCAGAACAACAGGATGAGTGTGTTCAGAGTAGTGTATGTGGGAGTGGGAGTGGATTCTTTTTAAGCAGATGAATGAATCACAGCTCTGCATCACGCTCTCTACAACCCCCATGCTGATTTTTAGAAATGGTAACCACGCTGATTAGTTCCTCAATCAAGAAAGGAACCCCCCTGTAAGCCAAGGGATGAGGGAGGTAAGCCAAGGGCTGGCGGCCATCGCCACAATGCTGAGATTGTACCGGAACCACATCCATAGCCCAGTGATCAGTACAGAATCCTCCTCCCCGAAACAGGAAGCAGCCAGGACACCCACGCAACTTCCATTCATGCAGGAATTGGGACCTGTTCACCAACCAGTCCCGAGCCACTTGAGAAGGGGTAACAGGTCTTCTCTTTTTGAGCAGTGATCAGGCCTCTGATACACCCAGGGGCCTGCATGAGAGTTTACTTCTCAGCCAATGGTAGAGGATTTTCATGTGCTTGCTGGGAATTCGTTGGATGAGGATGGACAGAAAGCCCTGACCCATGCATTTTTGATGGCTTTAATCCTGGCCTCCTTTGCTTGCACAGGGCAAAGGACAGTTCCAGTGGACAGAGGAGAGGGCCCATGACAGATGAACACTGTCCTCTAAAGGAATGCTGACCCCTTTACCACTGTACCAAGGCAGGCCTGGCTGGCTCCATGTCCCCGACTAAGCCACGTTGGGCCCTTTACATGGTGGTGGTATTGACGTCAGTTCTCTCAGTGAAGGAATTAGCTGAAGCCCAAAGGGAAAAAGAGGCCCAAAAAAGAAAACTTCAATCCAGCAGGACCAAAGTCATTTCTTTAGGCTCTCAGCAGTTGCTGGGCTTTAGTGGATTCTGATAGTAAGAGAGTTTCTAAAAATAGAACAATGAAAGGTCAGCCTTAATAGGATCAAGGCAACACAATACCTCTACTCCTGAGCAAGCTAACTGTGTTAACTTGACGAGGAAGGTGTTCTGCACCCTCTGGGGTCCTCTCCCCACTGAGAGTCCCTGTCCCCAACCTGGTGGGAGAGGGACCAGCCACTTCTGAAGTGGAGACATTGCCTTAGGCAGCTTTCTGGAACTGTGACAAAACAACTCGCAGGAGGAAAGGTTGGTTTGTGGTCGGGATTGCAGTCCATGGCCAGCTGGCTCCCTTGCTATGAGGGGTGAGGGAGGTGGAAACATCATGGCGGGAGGGTGTGGTGGAAGAAAGCTGCTCACTTCATGGCAGCCAGGAAGCAGAGGGAGATGGAAAGAACTAGAGAGGAAGGGGCGGGGTCAAGGAAAAGTCCCAAAGAGCAGGCACCCTTCGACCAGGTGGCACTAAATCTCCCTCCCTCCTCAGTAACACCATCAAATTACAGCTCTGTCAATGGATTAATCTGTTAATGGATTAATCCAGTTAGAGTCCTCCTGATCCGATCTTCTCCCAACAGTGCCAACCTCTCGGTGCTACTACAGTGCAGACCAGACCTTATTCCCTCGGGATCCGATGACAGATCACTTTCATCCCATCCCCTGTGCTCTGCTGCCCCACCACCTGAGATCCCAGGATTTATGAGCCCCTGGGACACTCTCTTCGCTTCCTAAACAAACCTTGCCAGAGAAACCCCTTCTGTCTGTCAACCCTGTGTTTCTTGCTTTTCAGGAGAGAAGTATGAGCTCCACGCGGGGACTGAGTCCACCCCGAGTGTCGTGGTGCACGTGTGTGACAGTGACACAGAGGAAGAGGAAGAGTCAAAGACTTCCCCAAAGCCAAAAATCATCCAGACCCGGCGCCCTGGCCTGCCACCCCCTGTATCCAACTGAGCTGACTGCTCCACCTTGACGATCATATCTGTCTCCTCTTTATCATGCTTCCCCCTCCCGTTGTTTGTCAGAAAAATTAATTGCCTTTAAATCCCTGGGTATTTGGTTGTTTGAGATTCCTTCCTTGAAATCAAGCCTCTCAGACAAAAGGGCTAGGCAAAGGTGATGTGTCTCCTGTTCATATCATGCTCATGATGTATAACCCGTCCTCTAGAAAGTCCTAGGGAAAAAAGTAGTATTTTCTTATTAAACCATGAGCACAGCCGATATCTTCATGCTTGCGTGTTGATCCAAGCCAGAGACATCAGTAACAAATAGCACCCGTCTTCTTTGTGAGCTGTTTCAGTCCCTGTCCTGATGTGGTCTTTTTTGTTGTTGTTGTTGTTGTTTTTCCTGGCCACGTAAATAGGACCCTAAGTAAACTTGACTTTGATTGCATGAGATTTCCCTGTCCGGCCTCACTCTCAGTCCTCTGCATCCCAACATTCCCAGGACAAGCATGATCACCAGCATTTATTTTCCTGATTTGAGGATATTCTAACTTGCAGATTGTTAGCACCCGGCCATGTCCTCTCTAGACTAGGAAAATTATCAGCATCACCCAGTTCAATGAGTCTGGGAAGAGTCACAATTTTGAATCAATATTTCATAGCTCTCTTAAAATTCCCAGAGGCAAAACTGAGCTTGGCCCCAAAGATATCCCTCCCCAGATCTCCAACCTTTTCTGTGCAGAACTTTCCTGTGTCTTTGGGGAGGTTCATCCAGGGTGATAGAGACCGATTTCAGACAGACCTGTTTATAAAAGTCTTGAGGTGTCTGAACGATTGTTTTTTCTCTTTGTATATTTGTACAAATGTTTCAGCTGTGCTTTTAATATCTGGATGTTTTTTATTTAGAGATTGTCCAACCATTAGCTGCTTTAAAGCATAACGTGTATTGCTTATGAATGCATTCATATACTAATGCAGATAATCTGATAATATTACTCACTATTATGGACAATGCTGAATTTTGAAAGGACACAAAAGCGTCCCATGCCCATAGAGAAGTAACTAGCCAATATCTATGCTATCGAGACCACTTGTTTTTAAATAAAGATGTGTCCACCATAGATAATGGGGACGGAGCTAAATCTCCAGAATGAGCATATTAAAGCTGGTCCAGATGGCAGATGCCTGCCGATCTTACTCATGCAAGGCCCACATGCTCAAAAACATTGTTTGTTTGTGTTACGTGTGGTTTTTCTATTCTCTAGCCCAAAGTGCATTACAGAAGATACACCTATCAAACCGTCACCTTCCACTCCATCTGCGCAGTCCACGAGTTCCTTTAGATGCAAATGCTGGCGATCGAGGAGTGGGGAAGCACTTTCATGACCTAAGCCTCAGACACACAGGCAAGAGCAATGGCCCAGCCAACCGATGGAAGGGTTGTTGTGGCTTTCTGACTAAGGTGTATGTTAAGTTTGTTCACAAACTTAAAAGCCTAGACTGATCACTCAGATAAAGTGCGTTCTACTGTGAATATAGCAATATAGTACTGGAGGCAGCACAGGTGGAATTGAGGAGAGCATCGCTTCTAAGATCCTGAGTTTCCATAGGGAAAATGACTCCTTCGCAAAATCAAGTCTGAGGAGTGGGTAAGAACTCCTTTGCCTGGGAGGGGTTAGGGTTTTGGTGGACAGACTTAGTGATGGAGAAAGGGTGCCCTCTGGTGGAAGAACATAGAGCTTAGCTTTTCAAAGGAACAGAATGACATCAGGCAAGAGAGAAGCTGAACTGTCTTGTGGGTCTCCTTGGCTTTTTAAACTACCCCGTACTTCCGAAATGCAGATGAGAGAAGTGTAGGGCTCCTTGCCGTGCCTCAGTGGAACCTCCTTGCACTGTGAAAGTCAAAATCGATCGCCTGGACATTTCCATGCTGCACATGATGCAACCTCTTTAGCACTATTGTAAGTTTGAAAAAATTTTTCAAATGGAGGGGAAGGGGAACCCGATTCCCGCCAACTGAATCATTTGTGCACGTGTACAGCTCAAAGAGCTTAGACTTCAAATATATCTGGCGAATGACCTTGGTCGTCGTGTCCTTTCTGTGCTGGGTGTCTGGGTTGGGGGTCCGTGAGGGGCGGCCGCCAAGGAGCACGGCTCAGCCTGCACTCTAAGAAGGTTCCAGCATCGGGAATTGGCCCCACTAGGCTGGGGTGGCAGCCATGTCCTGGGAGAGAGCAACGGAGCCAGCCTGGAGGGGTGAGGAGGGCAGGGTCTGATTAGGGGAACCACAGAATGGGAAACCAGGTTTCATGGTCCTATTTCAGCCATTTCAAGGGTCCCGAGAACATCCTGCACATCTCCCCCATGCAGTTCTTTAGTAAAAACACACTATCAGATCTTAAGGAGAAATAGTTATGGGACAGAACAGGAAAAATGTAAAGGATCTCATTTTCACAACATAAAGGATGACACATGCTCTTTATTAAAAGAGCAACTCCACCAAATGAAAAGCATTTCAAACGCACTCAACATCATTTCTTGTCAGACAAAAGCAAATTAAAATTTCAAAAGACATGTGCCAGGCAGCTTGCAGAATGGCTACAAGGAAGTACAGTTAAGTCCCTGACTTACGAACTGGCTCCATTCTGGTGGAATTGATCATCCTGAGTCAGATTCACCTGCCAAAGTCATTCTCCTACAGCACCCATGAAAGTTTACAGCTCAAGTGTCCCTAAGCCGGGGATTTCTTGTATGGGGAAGACTGGTAAGGACGCAGAGGGGAGGGGACACTGCTTCTGCCTCTTGAGACACTGCTGTGTCCCTAAGGTAGAACATAAGCTGTCTGGGAGTTGGTCTGCTCTGGGGCACATGTCCACAGAGGACCCTTGAGTTATGACCAGCCTGACATACGTACAACTTGGGTTACGACCAGAATTTCAGTTTTAACTCATGACCAAAGTCTTAAATTACAACCCAAATGCCGGCCACTTGTGTTCCCACATGGTCTCCGATACAGATTTAACCCTTAATGAGTTCTGGAAGGCACATGACAACATCCTTTCCTGTGGGGGGCTCCCTGAGAAATACTGAGCCAGTGTCTGTTTAAAGTCACTGAGATCTGCCTGTATACAGGAGAGAGAGTTTGAAGGCTGTGTAGAGGAGCCTGGCCTTCATTGACCAACCTGAGTCATAACCAGCCTCTCAAGCAAATTGAGTTGGTGACTGTATCCACATACTCATCTGACCGTGTCCCTAGCAGGACACCCAAATGTCCTTCTATAGTGGTGTGTGGAACTCTGGTTCACTTACACACAGGAACATGGCAGAGCTGCCGAACACAAACTCCTGGTTCAGATGACAGCATGCATGGATTGCCAATATCTGAGCAAAAACAAAACAAGCTACCCATGACAGAGCTGACAATGAGTAACTCCACTGAGGGAGCTGAGGAATGTGTCTAAGTCTGTGGTACCCTGGCCCACTCCAAGGGCCCCCAGCTCCATCAGTCCCCTCCCCAAGGTAACCGCTGTCACAGCTCCTACCAATCTAGGCCACATTATCCACCTGATCTGGCTCCTACCCAAAGTCAAAATGACCTGGAAAGAAAAACATATAGAATCCACTCAGGACATCATGGCAGCCACAAAGGTGCAACTAAAGCTACTCACAAAAGACTTCCAACCTGCGGCAGAAAGTGGTGAGGATGATGGCATAAGTGTGTTCACCATGCAAGGGAAGATTTTAAGGGGACTAATGGCAATATGTCTTTTACTGTAATCATTTTGTAATTGAATCATTCATAGTATCTTTGAATCACACCTTGAACATGCCTGAAATTTTCCAGAATCAGAACTCGATGCTGAACTCCCAGTGTTAGATGGTCTCTTGCTTTTGCGTAAGCCTTTTTATTTCTAGACAGGGCCCCTCCCTCTCCCAGTGCTCTCTCCTCCATGCCAGGAAGGCCCCACTGTCTCCTGTTGGATGTCACCCTGACCCCTGCTCATTCAGACAAATCTTCTTTAGCCACGTTTCAAAGAGACTTTGTGGGATTTAAATCTGGCTTTGCCAAAATATGACTGTAAGTATCCAACAAGTTGTCAAATGTCTGAACTTAAGTTTCCACTCTTCTAACTCAGGACCAAGGGTGTCTTCAGGGCAGGTGCCGGCACATATCAAGTCCCCAGCACATGACTTGGCACACACACACGTGTCCTCAGCACTTGGGCTGTTTCTGAGCTGGTCCTGCCCTCTGGGTATGGCACCTGGAGCTCCTTTGAGAAGCCACTTTAGTTTGTTGGGATTCCTTCAAGATGCTGAAGCAATTCTCCATTGCTTTCCACTGGAAGCCCCATGTCACTGGCGATCTTGATTCTTGTCAGCAAGCAGAGCCGTGCTGGGGCCTTGAGCAACTGTCCTCTGACTACAGGCCCGGCCCTGGGTGTGTGCTATAACTGAAAGAGCCAGAGGAGAAAAGCCCTGACTCCAGCTATCACAGAGCCAAAGAGGGCAAGAGGAACCTCACTCTGTGCCAGCTGCAGTGCAGCCTCCAGGCCTGCAGAGCCACTAGCAGAGAAGATATCACCACGCCTGCGTCCCCACTGCAGTGCTGCCCCACTGCCAGGACTGGGAGTGAGCACCACAAGGGGGCGCTGTGGTTCTTGCCACCACCTCTCCCTGCTCTGTGCCTGGTTGGAGGACGAGTGTGTCAGGGCCCTCAGCGCTGTCGGCCACTAGTGCCAGAGGCCCTTGCTAGTAGCACAATTGGTATCCAGTGCATCACCCGATAGAGGCCATCAGTCCCATTGCGGGAATAGCGCACCGTGAACACTCCACACCCCTGCTGTCTGCACCACACCTGCCTGAATGGCTAGAACATCCCACCCTTGCCTGGCCCCCAGAGGGTCTCTCTGACTCGGCCATGGTATATATCAATCATGTCCAAAGTCATTAACCACAGCCAAAGATGCTACACAGGGAGACTACTGTGCAAATAAAGCTGACATTGAATAAGGACAAACATCTTTAGGAACAAGTTGATTATCAAGAAGGTCACCCATGGGCCAGGGATTCAGCTCAGTGGTTCTGCCGCCTGCCTCGCAAGTGCAAGGACCCAAGT